GGTGGAGGTCAGTGCCTCCGTATGTGACCGTAAGGCTGCTTCCATGGCCCTGTCCTTGTGTGTCTGAGTCCCCACATCCTTAGCAGCCACTATCCACCTTCCCATGGACTTGTCCCTAAGTCCAGTGCAGGCTAATTTATTGTCAGAGTTCATCCCATCCCATATCAAAAGCTTAGTGAACTGTTCCCTTAGCAAGCCAGTGGGGGCGAGTTTGCATTGTAGGTTCCTCTCCACCCTGTCCACAAACTCATGAAGGGGCTCATTACGGTTTTGTGTGATCCCCGCAATTGGAGCCTCTGTGGGTCTCTCATCATACTTTCTCCAGGCCAATAGCCCCAGGGCCCTCACTTGATCTGTATAGGGTGCAGCAATGGCCACCTGTTGTGCCCCTGTAGAATACTGATCAGCAGTACCTGACAGCATCCCAAAGGTAATAGGGATGGGGGGGGGCGGGGGGAAGGTGTTGACAGCCAAATTCCTTTCTGCCTGAACTCAGCACTCCTCCTTGAAGAAGATGCACCATTTAATAAACATGGCGCCTTGGAGGATGGCTTTCGTGAGGTCCAGCCAGTCCTTAGCGGTACAGGGCTGGTGGGCCAAGCCCTGTAAGAAGGTTTCCACCCAAGGCGAATTGGGTCCATCCTCAGCCATGGCCTTTTTTAACTCCTTTAAATCCTTAGCATCCCAGGGGTACCAGGGCGGGATGATTGCCCCCAGGGTTTAGATTGACTTGGAATGTCTCTACCCCTCCCAGCTTTTGAGGCATAGGGGGTGACTCCTTGTAAGAGGGTGGACTGTCAATAGCCCCTGACTCCCATGGGTGTAGCCAATCTACTGTTAACTTCTCCTGGGGGGCTGAGGGGTACATGGGATATGGGGGGTCTTCCTCCTGCCTGAAGGGCCCCCAGGGTGCTTCCCAGGGCTTGGAGATGGCCCCGGGAAGCTCCCTGCATCTGGAGGTGGTTTTGGTTTCATTTTGGCCCTCTCGCTCCTAACTCAATCATCCGGGAGATGGTCGTCCCCACCCTGTTCAGGCTCTAGCTCAGGGGGCATAGAGGACCTGGCCCTAAAGGACAATTTTAGAGCTGAGATAGTGGGATAAAATCCCAGTGGGGGGGTTCACCCCCATGTGAATCTCCATCTCGTGAGCCACCCCAGTTTTCCGGTGGGCAACCAAGGAGCTAAGTGGAGGGCAGTCCCCCACACCTTTAGTGCACTCTGGTCCATCAATTCCAAACCCCTACTCTTTAACATGTATCTCAGCGCCTTAAGCGCCGGGTCCTTAGGCATATTGTTGCTGTTACCCATCTTTTCGGGTCTCACTCACCTCGGTGCTCATATGGCCCTGACCGAGCTAGCCCTCTCTTTGAGCCCCACGTTGGGCGCCAGTTGCAGAGTCCTCCCCAAGGTCCGGCCCTGGAGGGACCTGCCCCGATGGGGGTCAGGGAAAGGTGAGCGCGCTGTCCACCTGTTTCACCAGCCCTCCACACCAAGGACAATCAGACGCAACAGGGAGTCTTGTCAAGCAGGAGCTCATTTATTGCAGCAGGGCAGGGTGCTTATAAAGGTAGAAACCACAAGCTGAATTCCCCCACCCCTCATTGTTCTCCAATCAGCTTAAAGGTCAATGCATACATGCAGGCAGGAGCCCATGAAAGCTTATGGCAGATGCGAGCTGATCACGTGCTGCCCAGGAGTGCGGAAGGACTGGCATCCAATCCGATGATCTTCAAAACAAGTCAGGCTGCTCCCTGTTTACTTCCTCTCAGCACCATCTTTGCAGGGCCATCTAGGTCCCCACAGGTGACAATGGTTATGAGAGGGAGAAGGAAATAGACAAATGCTGTCTGCCTGCAGCCTAAGTCTTCAGTCACAGTGACAGAATGGCTGGTAGCTTTGGGAACACTCTGCTTAGACTAGGGGAAATCTATGAGCTTTTTCTTCATGTGATTTCCTAGTCAAGACAGAGTCATCTCTCATCTTCTCTACTACTGTGATGGATACAAATTTCATTTACTAATGAGCAGTTTTTCAGCTTATCCTGAATTTCTCTGAATGGCCATTTCAAAGTACACACAATAAATACGCTTCAAGAGGGTATATTCTGGGGACTTGCAAGTGCTAAGAGAGAAATAAGACATTGTTGTGAAGGGTGCCACAGGAGGCCACAAGTTACATGCGACCAGTAGTCAGTGTGGGAACCCAAACCTGGAAGATGACAAAGATCCAGTCACATGGTGAATGACGTGGGCCTGGAAGACAACAGTGACAGGAAATGGAGAAGTGACGGGAGAACAAGAGTGGTTCAAGGGCAGCAATGAGGCCTGGATTGTGAGAAAGTGGTATAGGATACAGGGGAGCAGTGAGAAGCCACTGCAGCCTTTAAATAGAGCAGGGGCATGGCCCAAATAACTTCTAAAGTCCTGGGTTCTGGGTGACAAGGAGATTAATGAGTACCTGGCATGAATAGGGACCTAGAGGCAGTTATGTAACTGTGGGGGTGGCTTGGACTCTGGAGAGATCAGACAGCCAAAAGCAAGTCTGACACATCAGAAAGGTCTAGTCCCAGAGGTCATCTGAATGAGTGTACTCTTTATTCCTAAGAACCAGGAAAGATGCGGAAAATTTATAGAATCTGATCTAAGTTTTAGAAGAATTGCTGCAGTTCATGCTGTAGATGTGTTTGGGAAGCAATAGATGGGAGCTCATACATAAGGTTGCTCATGACAAGATAACATGTGGAGATAGTGGTTATTTAATGCATACCAAGAAATGTTGGAGAAAGGCAGATAAGGAGCCACCTTCTCTAGGAACTTGTGTGTGTGTGTGTGTGTGTGTGTGTGTGTGTGTGTGTCTATGTGTGTGGTGTGGGTGTGTGTGTGTCTGTGTGTTTGTATATGCATATGCAAGAGCCAAGGTTCAACATCAGCTGTCTTCCTCAACCATTCTCTTCCTTATTTTACAGCTGTGCAGTGCTGTATCTTTTTTACCTGCTGGGGATCCAGATCCAGGTCTTAAATTCAGGTTTCAAACTCAAGTCTTCATGCTTGCATGGCATGCCCTTGACTGACTAGGCTTCTCTCTAGGAACTTCTGAGCAGCATTTGTGAGTTCAGGCTGAGTAATCCATGAATGTAAGGAAAGAAGGAAGGTGAGAGAGGACAGCAAGGGAATACTCTGTCCCTGCTTCTGCCTTAGGGGTGACAGTTGTTTTAATGCAAGAGGGAACCCAGAAAGAGGACTTGCCAATGGGGCATGACGTTGGAAACTCCCGTAGCCAAGGTGACAAAGTAGCTGGATGTTCTTCTAAGGATGAGAATGAAGTATGAACAAGAAATGTGACAGGACTTACTTCAGTGTTATGGTCAAAACAGATAGAAACTAGAAATAGCCTACTTGCAACACAGTATTCCCCCTTAGTGTGGCCTTGAGTTCAATCCCCAGCACTGTGAGAAAAGAAGAAAAATAGCAAAGAAATACTGCTTCTGAAGGTCCTGGTGCAGCAGTCCATGAGCTTCAATTGCATTGTGAAAGAATTGGGCTTTGAATTAGAACACTCTTTGAGGCCTCCAAAAGTCCAGAAAAATCTGATTCAAGTCCAGCTTCCTGTTCTTCAGATGTAGGTCCTTAAGTCAACTTTCCCACTCTTGAGTCTGTGATCATATCAGTCTGAAATAAGACTGCTGGCCTGTCGCGTTGGTGCTCGATTATTTTTTCTGTAACACTACCTGTAGCCAGAGTTCTTCTATTTGTTATGAAGCCTCTTGCACTATCAGAAATTCTGACCCTTAGAAGAGAATACTGGACTAAGAGAGACAGTAGGGTATGAGCTAAGGGTGTAACTCAGTGGTAGAGTACTTGCCTATCATGTACAGTTCTAGGTCCCATCCTAAACAAACCATAAAGAGATTTGTTTTCGTGATAAAGTTTGTAAGTCTGCCTGGAATGGTCTGGAAATAATGGTGCTAGGCTTCCACTAGGGTGGGATGCAAATCTCACCTCTGGTCTTAGGGGTGGATGGATGCATGTTGAGAACTAAAAATATGAATTGGTTCTAAACAAAGACTGAAACAAGTGGGGTTTTGCTAAAGTGGGTGCTAATGCCTACTTCTTTTATTTTACCAACTGTGTTTTCACAGTTCTGGAAAAAAATGTCTAAAACACTTTGAGCCCATGAGGCTCTCTCTCTCTCTCTCTCTCTCTCTCTCTCTCTCTCTCTCTCTTTTCCTCACTACCTTAAGCAAATTCTATTCTTTGGAAACTTATCTCTCTCCTAGGAACCCAGCGAGTCCTTGACAATAGCCCTATGACTAGGCTATCTTACAGCGACTTCCATTCCCCAAGAGTTGAGGGAGATTAACATTCAAGACAATTGGACTAGATCCAGCGGGTAGAGACTCGTACCAGCCAGGGGAGCTTCCTTCTCCACGCTTTCCAGGGTAGGAGAGGGCCTCCTGGGATGGGTCTGGGTGGGTTTAGGTATCATTTAGTAGGGAAGGGGAAGGGGGTCCTCCGGATCCGATCGCCCTCCTCTGCATCCCTGCGTGCACTTTAGATGCGCATAGTCTCTCTGGTTTCCTGCTAACTTTGTGTGGTTTGACTGCAGCTGGGAACGGTGGGAGGGAAGCCGAGGGGGTGACTTGGGGTGTCCTTGGATTGATGGGGCGCCCGGAAAGCAGAAGAGCTCATTGTTGTCCGGGGGTCTGGTGGGGATCAGAGGCCCTTGAGCAGGCTCGCTTTCGGTCGTTCTCTGTTTTGCGGAGGGCAGAGCGGCCAGCCCGCCGGGCTCGGACACTCGGGCACCATGCGGCTGGCGGGGCGCCGCGGGGTGCAGGTCCCCGCGCGGGCGAGGGGCGGGCTGGTGGCCGTGTGCCCTGGCGCCTGGCCAGGCTCCGCGTGAGCAGTGGCGCGAGCGGGCGATGGGCTGAGGGAGCACAGTGGCGGGGGGGGGGGGGGGGGGGGGGGGGGGGGGGGGGGGGGCCGGCCCGCGCGCGCGCGGCTGCGGGCGCCGCGGAGGAGGCAGAGGCGGCGCAGGGCTCCCAGGCCGCCTGTAGGCCACGGGCCTGCTCCGGGACGAATGGGACCCCGGGTTCGGTGGATCAGTCGCTTGCGACCTGAAGTTACTGGGCTCCGTTAGAAGCGCAAAAAATTAAAAGGTAACGCGTGTCTTTGTTTCCTGGTCGCGGTGGCAGGGAGGACGATTGATGATGCTGTACTTCTGTTTCCATTTTCCTGTGCTGGGCTGGGCAGCGGGGACATGCCGCTTCTTTTCTGGGGATTTAGAGGCTTTTATTTCTCGCCTGTTACATTTTTTAAATGCAAGCCCCACGTGGGGCGCATGCTGTGCTTCCTCTGACAATCCTTCCCCCTACACACACACACACACACACACACACACACACACACACACACACACTCCTTTGGCATCGCGACCCCGCACTATCTGAATTTCCCTTGGAGAAAGGAAAGGAGATTTCTGTAAGGACTATTTTTTAAGCTTTCTCCCTCCCCCCCCCCGGAAGTGACAGGGGTGTCCAGTTCTTTGGGTGCGGGACGGAGCTCTTGAGACAAGGTGGCAAGAGGTTGCCAGCTTCTGCGGCAGGAGCCTGCTGAGATAGACTGGCCTTTCCTTTCCAGATGGCTGCAGAGAGTTTGATGCAGAGAAAATGGGAGCTGAGAAGGGGAGAACAGGAGGGAACCCACTGTTAGTACCTGCTCCTTTAAAAAATGGCTAAACGTGGTACATTGCAAGCAACTGGCCAGATATTGGTACACGTTGCATTTAGGAAGGTCTCCCTAGCACTTCTCTTTGAAAGGCTGCCTGTGTGTAACCAGCAACTCGCTGGCTTTCTGCAGTGTCCCTTGTTAGCAGAGCAACGGTTCACTCAATTCACACAAATTTTGCAAAATTTCCAAGGGATAGCTGTTCTAATAACAGCTCTGACCGTGGCTCCTTAATAGACATCCTTATTCTGAATGGTGCAGCCCTGCCAGCCCCTGGGGAAGCACAGCTTGCTGAGAGATGAGATCCAAAGCCGGGGAAAGGACTCCGACCCCACCATGAATGGACCAGGCGCTGCCTCCCCTATGAATGGAACATCCCAACAGAGGCAGCCACTGCTCTTGGCTCATGTCAGTTGGAATCCTCCCCGAATCTGATGAGGATGCTCAGAAAACCTAGACAGGCACATTTCTAAATATAGGATGGCCCTATTCAATTTTGGATCCTTGTCTGCATTTAACTGCCGGATGGTTCAGCTGTCCCCACCCCCTCCTCAGCATGTGTTAAGTCTCATCCTTTTCCAAACGTTATGAGCCGGAAAGCACCAGCCAGAAAACCCAGGCAAACTGCTGACTTCATGCAAGGCAGCCTCGCCTGACTCTGGGGAAAGTACCTTTGGAGTTGGCTGCAAAAATGTGTCCCTTGGACTTTGTAGAACTTGCATATGTATGCCAACCTAAAAGTGTGTAACAAAATGCTTGTAGGGGGAGAAAAACTGTATGTAGGGGAACACATTCCATTGTTTTGTTTTTAAATTCTATCAAACCCATTCATAGCATTTGGCCCCCAGAAGGCCAGAATGTCAGATCAGCAGAAATCTGGTTTTGATTCTTTTAAGCATTGCTTGTCTCTTACAACCTCGATAAGTTGGAAAGAAGTAATGTCTGATGTGAGAAGTTCTGTGGATAGAGAACTTTTCTTTTTTTCAAATTACGCTCTTCTTTAATTAAAGGGGAACAGTTTTCGTAGGAATGAGGATCAAAAAATCTCTCCGCCTCCTTTTGTTCTGATCAACTGTGAGCTGCCACTGTTATTGCTGTATTCATTTTAGTATTTGTCCTGAATTCATTTCATTAATAAGACTTGTTTTATGGCCCTGAGCCACTTTATAATTTGTAGGCATTGTTGACAATCCTCCTGATAACCTGGCAGGTGGCTAGGGTCATTAGTATGATCTTGTCATTGGGGAAACTGAGACCCCTTGAGGTTCAGCAAGTTGCTGGTTTCTTAATCTGCGAGAATTGTATACCAGATGTGTACAGTGGTTACTTAATTGTCATAGCACAACTAGAGCCCAAGGCAAATAAAAGAGACAAGTCCTAGAACTTGGGAGTAAGCATCAAGGCAAGCATCAGGGAAAAGTTTCTTGAGTCAGCTTTGGTACGTGGATGAAAACACTATGCTTGGTATGTGATAGAAAAGAAAGAGAATAAAGTTCAAGAAATCTATTGAGAGCTTGGCTACTTTTATCTTTCACAAAGTATGGAGTGGAGATAAGACCTCCCTCAAAGACGTTGACTAACCTCACTGCCTAAATACTGTGCTTGTGTTCACATTGTTTATACTGGTGTGTGCATGAGTATTTATGCGTGTAAAGTGCTTAGAGTTCTGTTCCCATGTATCCTGCAAGCCATATACTTAGCATTTAGAAGTGTATACTTATCCCTTATTACATTAAAGCTGACATACCACATTGAATGACTTAAACCAGGAGTAATTTATACTCTAAACATTAGATTGTGAAACTTTGTTCTTAGATATTTTTGCATAAGTAAATATGTCTTTTAAGAATAAAGGAACAATATAATTGTACAATAATTTCTGGAGAAAATCCTGGTTCTGAGGGTCGAGGTGAGAAATAGGCCTGCTAACTATATAAGCTAGTAAACTAGCTTATAAAGTTATTTTATTTTATTTTTATTTTTTAATTTACATAAATAATTTATTGAGAATTTCATACATGTATATAAGGTGTTTTGATCAGATCCATGCCTACTCCCTCCCCTCCAACTCCTCCCATATCCCCCCATCACTTTTTTCTGGTAACTTCATGTACTCTTTCTTCTTTGATTTATTGATTTATTTTTATGGGGCTTTTGGCTACTCTAACATTGCCCCCTCTGAAGAGGTAACCCTAAAATCTTTTAAGAATATAAAATTATTTTTAAGGATATAAAGTTATTTTAAACCATACTATACACAGTTTCTAAGATGTCTAGGTTCACCACCTATTTATTTTTTCCTTTCTTCTTTCCTTCCTTCCTTCCTCCCTCCCTCCCTCCCCCCCCTCCTTCAGCACTGGGATTAAACCCAGGGCCTCTTACATGCTAGCCTCTACCACTGAGATACATCCCTACCTCTCTTTTTACTTTTTATATTAAGACAAGGTCTCACTAAGTTGCCCAGGCTAGCTTTGAACTTACTCTGTTTAAGGCAGGCAAGCCTTGAACTTGGAATTTTCCTGCCTCAACCTCCATAGCAGCTGGGATTATAGGCTTCCACCACTAGGCCTGGCTAATTCTTTTCTTTTCCTTCTATTTATTCACTTTTATATCATCTGTTGTGTTGATAAAATTTGTGTTGGAAACTCTGGATTAGGATTACTTGTTGTAAAATATTCCAGAATCTTGGCTAGTAGTGCTTTCTGGAACCTCACAGACGGGCACTAGAGTAACAATCTTCCAGTGGTATTTCAATCTAACTCCTAGAAGCTGCTCTGCGTGAACTGAAGGAGAAAAGAGGGAGCTAGTTCCTTTCCTGGTCAAGTTCATGGATAATCCAAGCCCACATTCCCTGTGGACCTCCCTAAGGTCCCCCTGCTAGATTCCTCCATTTTTTCTACCTTTCCCATATCAGGTTCTCTTCTAGTATTTCTCTCTGAAAGTTAGAATGAAAGGAAGCAAAAGACAGTCCTGAACAGCTCTTTAAAGAGAGATAGTGTACCAAGGAAAGCAAGTGGGAGAACCAGCCCCAGAGAGCTCCAGGAACTCTTTCTACCCCAGGGAACACAGCAGAGTCCAAGGGAATCTGTAGAAAGTTTACCAAAAATGTGGCCTTCTAAAGAAGGAAGAGATTTGAGTGTTTTTATCCTGTTGGGTTCATTCTAGCTGTCATTAGAGTGAAGCGTATTGGGAGTATTTTCCATTTTTGTTTTTGTTTCCCCAGAGCAGCATGTCTCAAGAACTGGTTCAGGAACTCTAGGAGCTGTGGGTTGCAGAGTTGCTACTTCACACAAAGGCCAGATCACTCCATTGCTGGCTTGGACAAGAAGTTTTCAGAATCAGCGTAAATGTAGTTTGTCAAAACTCTCCTCAGCAGTTTCCTTTGAGTTCTCTAATTCCATCCACTGCCACCCTAGGATCAGCATGTCTTTCTTTGACAAGGACTAATTCAATTGCACTCTGAACTTGAGGCTAGCCAGTTCCATCCACCACTGAAAGCATTGTTCTAGAACTATCAATTATGAAGCCTCTTTTATAGAAGGCGAACTCAGCTATTGCTACTGTTTAACAAATTACATGGTGTTTATTTTGGTGCTTATGACTGTGTGTGTTTTCATTTTTTTTTTTTTTGTCTTTTTGAGACAAGGTCTCCCTGTAGCCCCAGCTAACCTGAACTCACTATGTAGACCAGGCTGGCCTTGTGCTCACAACAATCCACCTGCCTCTGCCTCCCAAGTGCTGGGACTAAAGGCATGCGCCACCACACCCAGCATCAATTCTTAATTGTATCAGTGGAAATTAGGTATTCCCCTCCCCAAAGAACTCTTTACTTTGAAGATGGAAATTTCTGTTAAAAATAAAAGCTATGGCTGTTGGCAAGACATAGAGGAGTTAAATGATCTTATCACTACCAAATAATCAAGGAAAGATGAGCCAGCGGCTGAAGTTTGAACTGAACTGAATAAGTAATTTCCCTGAAGACCCACAAGCTGACTAATTTATAGAGGTCTCACATAAGATCTAGCTTAGGAGGAAGTGATGTTTCTGTCATATCTAGTGTTTTCTACATTTTTATTTTAAATATGGAGCTTCAGCTGTTCCATTATGCAACACAAACAGAAACTTGTTTTTCTATGGTCAAGAGTATTGGCATCTACAGTCTATCCTCTGGCCTTAACTCTGACCACATCCACATGCTCCTCCTAGCTCCTAACTTTTTAGTATGTATTTGCTAAAAGATGGCTCCTGCATACTTGTTGGGAAGGATTGTGTATGTGTGGTGAGTGTGTACATGTGTATACATACATGTATAGGCCAGAAGACATCCTCGGGTGTTTTTCCTCTGGTGCCATCCACTTTCTTTTTGAGAAAAGATCTTTTAATGTTATAGAACTCACTAAGCAGGCTAGGCTAACTCGTTAACAAGCCCTGG